AGGGAAATATTAACATCCTCTGATCTTTGTGACGACTTCTCGTATGTCTCACTCGCATACACGTATCCTTTCCTTGTTGTACGGGAACAGGCGCTATGGGGGTACAAAAAGTCGGCGCCCAGTCGGATCTGTATGGTCAGTCCACATAACATATGCTCGTTAGTTTTCTCTTTGTCTACTTAATCCATCATTCTGTCTGAATTCACTCGAGGGAATTAAGGAGACAAGAACAAAGTTGAGCTAATCCTATTTCAAAAGGAAAATAAAATCGAAATCACATTTCATTCAAGACATAAAAACAACAGATCAATCATATAAAAAATGCCTATCCTTCAACCCTTTGTACTTGACCAAGTTCGCCTGGAGAAACTTCGACCGTCAAAAGGAAAGGGGTAGAAGCAGGAGATCATCGACATGTCAATCATTATCATAAACTTGCGTCACACATAAGCATACCCCATACATCATATAAAAAGGGACAGAGAGAGAAAAGCAAGGTTGCGTAACCTTGTTAACCTCTTAAGTTCGACGATACTCGTCCCTGCGAGATCAGATCAAACTAAAGAGACAAACGGGGTGGTGACTCAGATACAGATAGAAACTCGAAAGTCATCACATCATTCAATCATTCATAGAGAGAGTGTCTACGAAACTTTGATGTGGCAAAAAACGACTGAAATCCAAACACCGACATACAAGAAGATCGGAAGGAGGCCGACGTTTTGCTGTGAACTTAGCTTCCAAAATAAGATGGAAGAGAATGAGGAATCAAGGCGCGCAAGTCTTCTGCTCTCATGCCATGGCCCTGAGCGCCACTTACCAACCTCCGTTCCACAACGATCGTCACCCCGCTAACTTAGTCTCTACGGCGGCTCACCCAGATCCCGCAGTTCGTCGTGGCCATCCAACGCCCAACCTCGGAAGACTATAGTCAGCTCGTCAGGATTTTCTGACTCGTCGATCATCACGTCATCTATCCATTACTTCCCTGCAACTGGCAGATGGGTTGAAAGAGAGTTCTCCGGATGCGCTTGCGGATTTTATAGTTGTGGAGGGGAAAGTAGAAGACAAGAGAGAGGGAAGGAGAAGGGATTGAAGAGAGGGGGAGGGGAAGGGGGATTATTCGTGCTGGGCAAACCATATTGATCGCACGAGTCACTTCGCAGCCAATCAGATCGTAACGTGAGGGGATTAGTGCCTCCTTACACCCTACCGTCTGATGTCTCGAAAGATTGGGAGGAGATCGATATGGTTGTCTTGTTCGAAGACGAAGGCGGAAAAGGAGAAGGGGCGACGAGCGGTGCGGAGCAGGACCAAGATTTAGATGAAGAGAGGGGGAAAGAAGCACGAAGAAAAGGGGATGGAAAACAGTAACGGGCTAGAGGAAGAAGGCGCAAAGGAGAAAGGGTGAAGATGGTTGGGGGTACAGTGGGAGGTGGGGGAAGCTTGCATGCATGGCGCCGACGTGGAAACAAAAAGGCACTGAGTCAGTTACGCTGGGTCAAATACAGCTCTATTACTAATTTAACATTGAAAAATTCAAAAGCAATATCCGCGTGCGGAATTGAACACGCGAATTCCTACACCTATTCAGATTCTTTAAGAAATTCCGTCGAGCTTTGCAAGACGGATTTGGGGACACTCATGTGTAAGAAAGGACACGTCAACGAGAAGTGTGACCGAAAATTCTGAAACTCCCAACTGTTGAAATTCCTAGCGCGCTCGCTAAGGTGCGCTTAATTCCTACATAAAGTTCATGGTCATTGGAAAAAAAAAAAAAAAAATCAATCATAAGAAAACAAAAATACTCCAAAGTAAAGAGGCCTCGATGGTCATTGGATCCATGCATTACCTGCCAACTGGAAAGGAGATACCCCAAAGCTCATTAATGGCCAAAAAAAGAAAAAACTACATGAACACAAGGCTTCAGAAGTCCATTCAAGCAAAGACGTTGGCCCATCACATATGACCCAACCTTGCAGGAAGAAACTCGTCGCCATCACAATGTAGCACTGAAACTTGCGGGGTGGGGTTGCCGTTGATAAATTCAATTGGAAGCCTTAAAAGCGTTGCCCACCTCTGAAGGGGCCCACGACCGACGTATGAGTGTTCTGGTGGTATAAATTGGTTTTAAGGGGCTAAAAGGGGGATGCCTTAGTGTGATTCTGTTATTTTTTTTTATATCTTCGATTCTGTGAGGAATTATGATGTGACCCTCAACCAAAAGTCGTTTGTATTGCAGTTCTACACAATATGTTTTTTCCGACTTTTTATATATATATACATATATATATATATGTGTGCAGGGTCACCAGCCCGTAGGTACGGAGGTCCCCGGGCAGACCTCCGTACATACGGGCGTTCGGGGTCCCGTACGGGGTCCGAACCCGACGGCGTTTGGCCCCCGCCAAAAATTATTTCGGGGCCCAAAAATAATTATTTTTTTCTGAATTTGTTTTTGTGCGTTCTCTATGACGTGAGGTACATGCCTGTAAATTTGCAAGTCATTTGGCCACGCCAAATAAGAATTAAAAATCGCCAAAGATGGCGGTGTCAAAACGTGCTCGCCCACATATTTTTTTACTTTTTACTTTTTGTTTTCACTTTAGTTCGGGGTCTAAATAATTTTATTATTTTTTGAAACTTTTTAAGTGGGTTTTGTATTATGTGAAGTACACATCTGTAAATTTTCAGGGCATTTAGCTATGCCAAAAAAAAATGAAAAATCGCCAAGGATGGCGGTGTCGAAAACATGCTCGCGCAGTCACTAAATTCATTTCTCTT